GCTGCTGTTTCCTTTTTCTGTTTGCTTTTGCATCCAAGAATGATAATCTTTGTGCAAATTCAGGCTTCATCTCTCTGCTGCTCTGGATGCAACCCCCACATAGTGCGTCCACAAATCCACCACTGGCTCAGGTCCCCTCGTCTCTGCCGGGTATTTCCTCATCTCTACTTACTCCAAATTGCTTCAGAGCTCAGTTGCTGTTTCATCTTTCCAAATCACCTTCTTTAAAACATCTCTTCTTTCTAGGTTAGAGCTTTAAATCTCCCCTGCACCCCTCTGTACCCAGACTGCCTCTGAGTTCTGCTGCTCTTCTCAAGTCTTGAACCAAATGAGCTCTCCTGCATTTTTTTCTTGACTTCTTGTTCTGCCTCTCTAATGAACATCCCAAATTTTGTTAGCACAAGCACTTTTTTTCCTTGCCCTTTTGGCCTGGTCTCTCTATGTACAGCACTTTAAAGCCCCATCAGTAACGTGCAGCTTTTCTGCCTGTAATTTCAGCTTCTCCTTTTTAAGAGCTTTCTTTGCAAGCCCAGTCTTCCTTGGAGTCCTTTTCCCTTTCTGTCTCTCCTACTTCTGAGGAAACCTCAGTTGCTGCCTCCAGTCAGCTCCCAAAATTCATGTCTTCCATAAAAATCCTGCCAGGATTAGATGTCCATGTGCCATGCTGTGTTACCTGGGCTGTGCTTCATCCATTTGATAATATAAAGGTTTTTAAGGGGGGAAAAAAGGGTATTTTTGTCTGGTTTATAACAAGTACCTTGTTGCTGATTAGGTAATAAGATCCTCAGTTCTTTTTTTTACATTGAAAATAAACCTCTCTGTGTGATACACATGAACGAGAGTGTGTGTGAACACACTATATGTGTTTGTATCTGTGTGTATCTCTCTCTGTGTGTATATCTCTGTGTATCTCTGTGTGTGTCTCTCTCTGTATCTCTCTGTATCGCTCTCTGTATCACTGTATCTCTCTCTCTCTCTTTCTCTCTCTCTTTCTCTCTTTCTCTCTCTTTCTCTCTTTCTCTCTTTCTCTCCTTCTCTCTTTCTCTCCTTCTCTCTTTCTCTCCTTCTCTCTTTCTCTCCTTCTCTCCTTCTCTCCTTCTCTCCTTCTCTCCTTCTCTCCTTCTCTCCTTCTCTCCTTCTCTCCTTCTCTCCTTCTCTCCTTCTCTCTCGATCTCTAGCTCTATATTTGTATATCTATTTATATATCTATTTATATCTCTATATATCTCTGTCTCATTATATCTATTTGTATATCTCTTGTTTCTGTGTCTCTCTATGTCTATTTGAATCAATATATCATCTGTATCTGTGTATCTCCATCTCCTGTCTGTGTTGTATTTGTCCCATCTGTGGAATGCAAACTGCATATACCATCAATTTATGCACCATAAAAATTATTCCTCTTTTAATATCTTGTTCAGACTGTCAATTTGAATCTATTGGGAAATAGAAAGTGCTTATATATATTTATAAGGTATAATATAGAGTAATTATAGTATATAATGTGTAATATAAAAATATACCTATAATATGAATTTTAGATTATATGTAAATGTATTTTCTTTTTCTTAATGCTCAGAGTATCATAATATTTGTTCTCTTTAAGATGCACGTGGTAATTTCTAATGTCATTTAAAAGCACAAGGCCTGGCCCTAAGTGATGTGTTTAATAACTATCATCTGTGTCCTTCTGCCTAATAAATAGTTGTGTTTCCTGCTGTCAAAACTGGGAGTGAAAGGCACGTGCAGCAGAGAAAGGGAAAATCAAATCCATCCCTCCTCAGACAATCAATCACAAGTGACAGAGCCTTTAACATACCATTTGTAGGGCACTGGAGTTGTGAAATGGGAACTGTCTGGAATACGTAGCTGGGAGCCTTTGTGGCTTTGCCACTTGACAAAAGCACATCACTGAGTGGAGAACAAGGCAAAATCCAGGTGGGGAGAGCAGGAAAATACCTTCTCCTCCAGCAGGTCGTCCCTCCAAACCCAGACAGCATCATAGAGTGCCACGTTTGTATGTCTGTGTCCAAAACTGTGGTATTTTTTCAGTGTTTGTCTTTTGGAGGCTTCACTGCTGTTGCCCCTGACATGTTTTGCCACATTGAGCCCAAACTGCCTTTGACAATGTGACTAATTCCTGATGTGTGGCAGTTGATTCCTTTCAAATATACCTTGCAAATATTGCTGTTAAATGCCAGGGCAGGAAAAAAAGGTGGAAATACAATGACACAAGATTTTAATTTGAATTACAAAAAGAATCTGATCATTTAAGCCAAGAGTT